TAAAATAAGATAAAAACAGATAAAAGAACACAAAATTGTGAATTAAACAAAAACAACACTAAAGCTAGAAATAAAATAAAGGGTGGAAAAATGAGAAATACACTGAAACTAAACATTTTAATTAATTTAAATTATTTAGTAAAAATAATAATACTAATATTAATAAATATTATTATTGTTGTTGTTGTTTAACCTGAATTTAAAATGAACACAACGTTTAAAAAAATAGAAATATCTTTTTAAAATCTAAAACAACAAGTGTGAACATCCACTCAGAGATTAATAAAAATACATTTGAAATAAAAACTCAAAATCTCATGCTTTTGTAAAATAAAAAATAAAATGAAATAAAACAGGTTTTTCTAAAAAGTATTTCTGGTTACTTGAGAGACTTAGTGGATTGGGACACATCCGGAGAGACGTCATTTTTGTGTCATTCTTCATTCTGGAGCAATAAACAGCGATCGTCATGAACAAGCTGAACATCTGGGATTATTGATTATTATTGAGAAGATGACGTCCAAGACCACGTGTCATCAGACGAGCTGATTATAAAGATCAATACCAATTACAATCACTGGAGTTATTATCTGCATTACAGATATTCGTATTAGGGCTGGGTTTTGACACAAATTTCACGATTCAATTCGATTCTCATTCACAAGCTTGCGATTCGATTCGATTCAATATCGATTATTTTGGACATACAGTGGGTACGGAAAGTATTCAGACCCCCTTAAATTTTTCACTCTTTGTTATATTGCAGCCATTTGCTAAAATCATTTAAGTTAATTTTTTTTCCTCATTAATGTACACACAGCACCCCATATTGACAGAAAAACACAGAATTGTTGACATTTTTGCAGATTGTTAAAATTAATGAAGTTTTTACAATAATAAAGTTACAGTTACATAATATTTCTACTTCAATTCGTTTTTTTTTTTTTTTTTTTTTATATAAACATTTAAATGGTGGTTGTCATTAAAAACTTGGATTTATTCAAACATAAATTAAACATTGAAGAACAGT